CAATATTGTCTTTGTTACACTTGTGCCAATAAAGCAAACTGAATTGAAAAGTGCAAAAAAAAACTACAAAAATACAAACACCAATAATAATGGAATTGAATTTCTTTCAGGGTTTAATGTCTGATGGACTCTTATGTATTGTCCTGTTTTATGTTTTACTGTTCTGTGGTTATGTTTGTGTGCAAATTAGCTGTTAGCTAACTCTGATGCAATTACTTTTAAATGTGTGCTATCGCCATAAAAGAAGTGTAGTGTAATATTCCCCATACGAATTGCATGTCTAACAGTGTAGAGAAGGCTTTAAACATTATTTAAACCATATTGTAGGGCGATACAATGACTGAAAATCTCACACTACAGTTAAATGATGTATTCAAATATAATTATATATTTTTAATTTACAGAGTCTGGTTGGTGGCTAGTTGAAATTGTCTTTGGTAGTGCAGGACCAATGACCTTAGCATTTCTAACATCCCGTCTATGGCTCTGGCGTAAATACTGAAAAAAATAGGCAACTTAATCTGTTTAAGCAAAAGCAGAATGTAATTTACGTCTCAATGCACAGAAAAACCCCAGAAAATGTACTGCACCTTAACTGTGTATGAACTGCCATGATTACACTGAGCACATTGTTTTTGGCCAAGCTTTTCTTTATATTAAGTGACTGCTTTATTTTGAAGGAAAAACAGCCCAGTTCCGGGCAGCATTGGTGCTCTCTGTGGTTCCATTGACGCAGCTTTGTATTCAGTGATAACTGACACCTACAGAAGCCAGTTGCATGGGAAAAAGTGGACTTTTTGTTGGGTACGCCCCATTTCCAGCATCGTCCAATAGAAAGAGCTAACTGCAAACAAGTGGGCATGGCTTGGTTGGAGGAAGTGCTGGTTTTGGACACGTGGGGGTGTGTGAGGTGGGTGGTAAAGAGGTCAAATGGAAGCTTGCTATTACAAAAGTAAGCTGAGTGTAATCAAAATATAACTGTTTACAGTGGTAGGGCTCTGAAATTATTGTAATATGATTTCAACACAACAGTGATAGAGCACAGGAATGTTAACATGTGGGACTTTATTGAGTAACAACCCATACAACCACATTAAATTAAGGATGCAACAGCTAAAATAACATAAAAGATCAAATAAACCTTTAAAGAAGTGTGCGTATGTGCAGTGGATGGGTTTAAGTGCCACAGGATCATTCTGATATGATAAGCTATTCCAGCACTGTCAGAGTCTACCACTGGCTGCTTCTTCAAACCATGTACATAAATGCATAAAGTCAGGACCCAGTGAAATAACAGAAGGCTCCTAAATATATATATATATATATCTTTATATAATATAAAGGAAAAAAAAGATATTTAAACTTTCTGAATGATCATGGGTTGATCATTGAGTCACCAAAGGTTCTTGTATTCCTGCTCTGTGCATTCCCCCGTGCTGTATGAGTTATGACTATCAATGCTTTTCCACCAGGCTGTTCAGTTCAAGCAAAATAAGTCACACACACAAACATTTCACCTTTGTTCCCACATAAAAGAGCCTGATGGATGCAGGCAGATATTAGCATTGTTATTTGAGTTTTCTCATCACTTAAAGATGTATCTGTCCTTTTGACCGCTTACGTTTGGTCTGTTGGACCGAGATTTTAAACTTGTCTGTGCTCTCTGTGGGACAAACGATGCAATAGATCTTTTTCAGCAGCCATTTTGACAGAAGCCATTCATTTGTTTATTTACACCTGTGTTTATCCTACTATTTCATTTCATAACGGCTGCTGTGGAAATGCTCTATGAGCCTTTTGCCCAGTAGGAAAAGTAAATAATCAAATGAATGATGGCTGAATTCCATTAAGCTGCCAGTATGGTTAATGCTGGCTCACTGTCACAAGTCAAAATGTGTGCTGTGAAAAAGGCCTAAGGCGAAACTTTCTCTGCTTCGATTTCTTCTTTATTGGCCCACAAACACACTAATACTGATATACCTGTGAGAGGCTAATATCAGCCGGGCTTATTTTTAAAACTTGTTGAGTGATTCTGTCCAAATCTTTGAATTCTACATTTTGTGCTATAAATATGCATAGCACCTGCCCTCTACTGGTCGAAACCCAGTATTGCAATTTAATTTTGCTATTGGTTGATCAGGAGGCAGGTGAGGCATGTGGTGGCAGCTTTCATCACCAACCAACCCCCCCACTCTCTGTTTCCAGTGCAGACACATAGAGTCTGACAGCAGCTGCTCACGGCTGGTTAGCTTGGTTAGCTCTGGGCCGCTAGTTTAGCTAACGTTACAACACTAGTGCTACTAAGAAACTTAAACAAACAGTCGTGAATGTGCTTCTAGTGACTGTAAAAGCTCCAGCGGGATCAGCCAGTCCATCGGCAGCTGCTCATTGCTGGTTAGCTCAGTTAGCTCTGACTAGCGGCAGCTGTATTCCTGCTACTCTAAGCGGTAGTCAGTCTGTCACTCTGTCAGTGTTACCTCCATGCCTCCATATAATTTTCTCTTTTTTTTATAATTTGCTGATAGGGAGGGAGCTAGCAGAATTTAGGGGTTTAGTTACACTTTAAGGACTGATAAACAGCATGCTGATGCTAACAGCTTCAAACTAAGAATCTTTCAAATCATTATTGCATCATACTGAAATAAATGGCTATGAATTCTAGAAAATACTGTTTTCACAGGACAGATACTATACAGTATATAGTCTGCTATACCATAAAGGCAACAGTCCAACATTTCGGTAAGAAAGCTTACTTGGAACTGGAGTCGGGATGTGGTTGGCCTAGCTTAGCATAAAGACTGGAAGCAGGGGGAAACAGCTAGCCTGGTTCTGTTCAAAGTAAAAAAAAAAAATACTGTCTCGTTTAATCTGTATACAAAAAAATCTTTTAAAATCATAATTTGTTGTTTGAGAGGAAGTTATGTGCTTGAACTATTTCTTCCTTGCAGTCTTTATGCTAAGCTAGGCTAACCTCAGCCTGGATCCAGCTCCGTGCTTAACGCACAGACAGAAGACTAGTATCAATCTTCTCATCTCACTCTCAGAAGGAAAAGCTAATAAGTGTGTTCCACAAAATGTTGAACTTTTCCTTTAAACCAGGGTTTCTCAACTCTTTTTGGACCTTTGGCCCCATTGCAAGAAACCACAAATCTCATGAGAATTTGAGTATGAATATGTTTGTCTTCTATTACATATCATAGAGGAATCTTCAGATGGATTATAAAGAATCCATTCCTAAGATTACGTATTTATTCATTGTATTATTTTAATTTCTTAGTTTGTTTCACAAATATTAGACATATCCCATAATTCCATCTACATATCAAACAACCCCATGTAAGGTCCAAATCCCAGGCTTGAGAAACTCTGCCTTATCAGTCCCAATCTGATGACTCTCCCAATGTGTTTTATTATTGACATACATAAATAAATCAGGTAACATCCTATTGTTTACCATTCACAAACAATCCAGTCCTAAGAAGCATTTATCCGCTTGGCATTTTCAGTCTTGGGTGGTATGATTTTGACCTCGAAGGGGATGAAGAACTCCAGAAGAGCTTTTGTGTCTTTCAAGTCCAGAGAATAATCCTGAGCGATCTTTTCCGGCGTCCACGTCTGAGGCTGTTGCCGGTGGCTGCCCAGGGCCTTCAGAGCCTCTGCGATGGTCAGTTTGCCTTTAGGGACGTCTGTGAGCTCCACCATACCATATGGGGCCACTGGTAAACTGAACTTCAATGGCCGCCGCTCTGCTTCATTACCTACAGTCACGTCCTTCGATGCCTGTGGGAAGATTAAGAGGAAGGAAATGAGACTTAGAACACACTTTAAATTCACTATAGATATTTGTGGTTTTTCTCTAGTAACGCCATCAGACCAGGTTTAAAGCTGCACTAATCCTATACGTATGTATGATTGCGAAAAATAAATATAAATATATAATAAACATAATACAGACAGAGGATTGTCCAGAACAACTGATAACTGTAAAATGTGAACTGCAGGAAGGTTGATATTTGTATACAGTTATCTGTCTGTATTAT